GCTGAAGAGCTGGCACTTGCTAGCCTCTTGGCCAAACCATCAGGATCACCTGTCACAGGCTCCAAGATCCACCAGGAGATCCTGATCGACCAGTTGGTGACCACTGCTCTGAGGTGCTGCTAGTCTATTGGTTCTTTTGTACCTTTTCCTGTTCCAGACGAACACGGCGACCCCTTTGAAGGTTCAGAGTTAGGTTAGCTCACCGGAGGAATTGCTATACGAAACACAGCACTTTCTTGCAGCTCAGGGCCAATGCAGCACCCTAGTGCAAAAACCTCACACTTACATTTGTCACAAGCTGTTGCCCCAGCCTGGTCAGGCGCACAGCTCCAGCCTTGGCACTTTTCCTTATCTGGGACCGCTGGGGTGCACAGGATAGGAGATCTGCTCTCCGCCCCCACCCCCAGCCCAGAAATGGTCTGTATCTGTAGAGATTTGCTGAGAAGCAATCAGGGCCACCTTGAGTCCTAAAAATGCTGAACCCTGGTTGGTCTGTGGGTGCCAGGGGGAGATTCCTGCCTAAGATGAGGCTTGACCCGTGGAATGGTGTTGAGGTCTCATAGCTTTGCTTGCCACGCTTCGCTTCTGTGTGACAGTAAAGGGGGAAGAAGGAGGATTTCTGCAGGCACCAAGTCCTTGTATTTCCCCAGTTCCCATTGCCATGGGATTATTTCCCTCCATCTGAGGGTGTGTCTAGACTACAGAGTTTTGTCGACAAAACTATCCCTGCGTCTGCACTACCGCTGAGTTGTCGACATAACGTCGACAGGACTCAGCAGTTTTGTCGATGCTGGTAAACCTCATTTTACGAGGCATAACGCCTTTTGTCGACAGAGTTCTGTGGCCAGAAGGTGTTATTACATCTAGGGTTGTGTCTAGTGTACAGGGTTTTGTCGACAGAACTGAATGTAGTCTAGACGCTCTTTGTCGACAGAATCTTTGTCGACAGTATCTGTCGACAAAACTTCTGTCGACAAAAGCCTGTAGTCTAGACGTACTCTGAGAGAGCTGGCACATGACCCCAGGCATCCAGTCCCACAAGCCAGGTGGTGGTTTCGGCAGGTTTCAGTTCTTTGGGCTTTGTGCTCTCACCCTCCAGTCTTGTTTTCAAATTCCACGTGAAGAAGCTGCTCCCATGGCGAAGGGAGTTGCCTTGCTCTATGTTTCACTCTCAGCATTTTCTCCGTGGGATGTTTGTGTTGAATTTTTTTCAGTCCCAGCTTGACCAAGCCCTGGCTGTGGTATACCTGCTGGATGTGGTATACCTAGACTTTAGTGAGGCGTTTGATATGGTCTCGCATGATATTCTTATCAATAAACTAGGCAAATACAACTTAGATGCGGCTCCTACAAGGTGGGTGCCTAACTGGCTGGATAACTGTACTCAGAGTGTAGTTATTAATGGTTCTCAATCCTGCTGGAAAGGTATAACAAGTGGGGTTCCTCAGGGGGCTGTTTTGGGACCGGCTCTGTTCAATATCTTCATCAACGATTTAGATATTGGTATAGAAAGTACGCTTATTAAGTTTGGAGAAGATTCCAAGCTGGGAGGAGTTGCGACTGCTCTGGAGGATAGGGTCATAATTCAAAATGACCTCGACAAATTGGAGAAATGGTCTGAGGTAAACAGGATGAAGTTTAATAAAGACAAATGCAAAGTGCTCCACTTAGGAAGGAACAATCAGTTTCACACATACAGAATGGGAAGTGACTGTCTAGGAAGGAGTATGGCAGAAAGGGATCTGGGGTCATAGTGGACCACAAGCTGAATATGAGTCAGCAGTGTGATTCTGTTGCAAAAAAATCAAACATGATTCTAGAATGTATTGACAGGAGTGTTGTGAGCAAGACACGAGAAGTCATTCTTCTGCTCTACTCTGCGCTGATTAGGCCTCAGTTGGAGTATTGTGTCCAGTTCGGGGCACCACATTTCAAGAAAGATGTGGAGAAATTGGAGAGGGTCCAGAGAAGAGTAACAAGAATGTTTAAAGGCCTAGAAAACATGAGCTATGATGAGGGAAGATTGAAAGAATCGGGTTTGTTTAGTTTGGAAAGGAGAAGACTGAGGGGATATGAGAGCAGTTTTCAGGTATCTAAAAGGGTGTCATAAGGAGGAGGGAGAAAACTTGTTCTTCTTGCCCTCTGAGGATTGAACAAGAAGCAATGGGCTTAAATTGCAGCAGGGGAGGTTTAGGTTGGACATTAGGAAAAAGTTCCTAACTGTCAGGGTAGTCAAACACTGGAATAAATTGCCCAGGGCGGTTGTGGAATCCCCATCTCTGGAGATATTTAAGAGTAGGTTACATAAATGTCTATGAGGGATGGTCTAGACAGTATTTGGTTCTGCCATGCGGGCAGGGGACTGGACTTGATGACCTCTCGAGGTCCCTTCCAATCCTAGTATTCTATGATTCTAAGATGGAATTGGGACTGGTCCTGCTTTGGGTAGGGGGCTGGACTCGATGACTCCTGAGCTCTCTGCCAGCATCAGGATCCTACGATTCCATGATTGGTTGATTACGGGCTATGTCTCATGAGGAATACACCCCCCCCCCCCCATTAATCCCAAAGGGCTAAAGACAATCTATCGACACTTCCAGAGTCTTTAAAAAGATTTCTTAACTTCTTAAGCCCTTTCCTCTTCTCTCTGTGGCAAGATTAGAAAAGGTCTGTGCTGAAGTGAATAAAACGTTTCTGTGTGTGGTCCTGGACTGAGCCTTGTAACAATATTTTGGAAAACGTTTCCTTGGTATTCGTTGCCCTAAATAAGCGGTTTAGTTGCATACGTCAGAAGTACTTGATGCTGAGAGGCAGCTGAATAATTGAGAAACCTGACCCCCACCCCAAGACTGACGAAGGCAGGACAGAATACTCCAGGGTATGTTTATGTAACTTTGAAATCTGCCCACAAGTAAAAATGTGTTTTAAGTGACTCCAAACCCCTGGATTGATAAAAGAAATAATGTCATTAAATGAGGCATTCCAGAGTCTGCTTCAGACAGTCCCAAATCTAGGAAAACAGAACAGAAACTCTGTGAGCAGCTAGTGCAAAATACTGATGCTGGTTTTCTATGGCAGGGTTTTCTCAGTAGCTGTTATAGGATCCTTCCATCAACCCATCATTACAAAGAGCTGTAGCTTTACACTGTAAAAACCTGTATAAACCCCAGTGTGCTTGTAACTGAATTGGGACCATCAAGAAAGCCGCAATGGGGGAGGGGATATCTTTGACTGGAAAATAGCACAGCAGGTGGAGTTGTGTGGCAGCAACCCTCTGGGATAAAGTGCGTGGAGGGGATCATGAGAACCTAAGAACGGCCACGCCGGGTCAGACCAAAGGCCCATCCAGCCCAGGGCCCTGTCGGCCGCCAGTGGCCACTGCCAGGTCACCAGGTGACCTCTCCCCCGTCGCCCAGTCCCTGCTTTTGGCAAATGGTTGTTAAATGAGATTCATTCCTCAGTCCCCGTGGCTGGCTGGGACTCGGCGTTGCCTTGGCTGGCTCAGTGTGGATAGGTTGAGAGGGAATGTGCCCAAGGAGCCGAGCTGTAGATGATGGAATGGGAGCCATCAGGCTCTCTCGCAGCCTGCCACTGCAGCTTGGCGATGTCCTCCCCCTAGCCAGCATTCCCGCCCCACATGCTGCCCCGAGCTAGGACCTGCAGGCCAGAGGCAGCGTTCCATGGCGCTTGTGTCCCTGCGCAGCGCTCCCCAGTCTGCGGGGGCTGACACACGATGCCGGGGGGGGGAGAGGGCTGGGGCCAAGGAGGAGGGTTTTGGGGGAGCAGCACTGTGGTGCAGGTGGGGGAGAGAGTGCTCCAGAGCGGTGCAGGCTTTAGGGAGAGGCTGGGGGAAGGGGTTTGGAGGGGGTGCAGGCTGCCCTGGGGAGAGAGTTCTGTCCCACCACCTCTCACCGCAGCCAGGTGAGAAGCGCCTCTTCATCGCCACAGCAGCTCTGGCAGGGCCTGGCCAGGAAGTAGAGGCCTCTCCATGGCCCGGGCATGTCTGGAACTGGCCGAGGCCAGGGAGTGCCTGGGGAAGAGGCTCATCTCCCCCGCTGTGGAAGGGCTGGGTTGAGGCTGGGACCAAGGGAGGGGCGCTCCCCCTGGCAGGAAATCCAGAGCAGCTCCGCACCGTGGCCTGCGGGCAGAGGCACCTCTCCCCACCACAGCCCCCCTGCGTGGGACTTACTGGGTACCTGCGAGGCCGTGCCGCTTGGCGGGAGCTCAGGTCAGAGGGTAACTAATTTTGCACTTGGTGTGTGAGAGGAGTTTTATTTGGTCAGCTATTTCCTTAACTGCTGCCCTGATCCATCTCAGAGAAGCCACGAACTCTGGCGTGGGCGAGCTGTTGGAATATCTTTCTTGCTCGTGGCAGATTTCTTCCTGGCTTTTGTTGCCTGCTATTTCAGGGGTTTTGTATTGCGCCTCCACTCATCTGCAACAACAAAAACTGTTTACTAGAGAAATGAACAGGCAAGGCCTTTTCCATGTAATTGTGTTCCCTTTGACAAGAGTAATTAGCAAAGCTAAGTGGCTTGAGAACCGATTGATTAGGCTTTGTGGGAATGGCAGTGGTTGGGTGAGACTGAGATACGTGGATGTAGAGCAGCAGATATGAATGAAACCCAATTGTTTCTGCATTCTTTATGGCTGTGTGCATTTCTGTCGTAAGCTCCCTTTCTGTACCTTTGCGTTTGTGGACTGTGAAGACTTGGTACCTGGAGGAACTGGGGAGAATTACCAAGGTGTGAAAGTAGAGAATATTTTTTCTGACTCTGTCTCATGTTTAGCAAAGTCATCAGCTGGTATAAATTGCAATTGGATAATGTCAGCAGTTCCCACTGTGGCGATTACATGAGGCTATTTTGTCACTTAGGATCTCCACCGCAGAAAAGAGATGTTTCAATTACTTCACTGTTTGCTCTGAACTCACTGTCTGGGATGTGGCGTGCAGCCATCCATTTGTTTGCCTTAATGTGGCTGCTTGTCTCTGGCAATAGAGCTGTTGATGCCGGTGGAGTGTTACCGATTGCGTGCCGCACACCATGAAGAGTTCCGAGTGAAACACTCAGAGGTTAGAAAGCGTCAGATGGAAGGTGGCTCCGTGCGGTCGCCATTCTGCATCTGTCTGTGTGTGCATCTCAGATAAGGCAGCAGACCCTGCTTTGGAGGCTAGGGCTGTGTCAACGCCGGAGCGCCGAGGGGTCTTTCAATGGGGGTAAAAGAAAGTTGGAAGAATGTTTTTAAGGGGAACTAGGTTAGGCAACCTAGTTATAGAGCCTTTGCCACGGCCCCTCGAATGGCGTGGCACAACTGATCAGCCAGATCCAAATACACAGTGTATCACCTAGAGGAAGTCTCCGATTATTTCCTACGTGTAACAGTTTGGGAATGTCAGTGGTTAGGCTTGTGTCACAACCCCCTTTGCACAGGAACAGTGAAGTCACTGGCTGCTCTGAAACTTGCTGAAATGCTCAGGGTCTTGGAAGGAAGAACTCTGAGTGTGACATTTTCAGGCTGAACACCCCGTACCTGGCAGGACATCTGCAAGTCTGTACTGGAAGAGGTTTGGTGTATTCCTCAAACCCTGTCGAGGTGGGTCACCTTACCCAGAAGTGATGAAAAGCATTTGTGTGTTTCAAGTTGCAGGGATGCTCCAGCTGTGTTTGGTGCATTTTTTCCTTCCTGCCCTCCAGCCACTAACTGCTGAGGCTCTTCATTATCCTTTCCGTTCTTTTGGGCTTTATGTTCTCGTCCTCAGCTCTTGTTTTCAAATTACCACTATGAACAAACAGTTCTTCTGGAGAGGGGAGTTGGCTTGCTCTGTATTCCATTCTCAGCAGATTCTTTGGGAGGGTGTTTATGTTGAATGTTTTCATTGCTTGATTATGACAAGATGTTTCTTTGGGATTGCTTGATTTGTTAGCCACTGGCAAAGTGCTCAGCACTCTATAGATCACAAAATGTTGACTGTGTCCCCCACAAAAGTGTCCATCCTTAAAGACAGTATGTGTTGCGAGCCTGTTTTAAGGTGTCTGCTGCTACAAATTGTAGCCTCTCTGATAACTTTGTTTCAAATTAGGTTTTGTCACACTGAAATCAGTGTGAAAGTGAAATCAAATTAATCAAACCATGATTCAGACTTTTCATATCGAACAGAAGAAATTCAACCAGCCAAGCAAGCTCATGGCAAAGTTTGGAAACATTTGCACATCTGTGTGTAACAAGCGAGACCAGGGATCCGGTTAGAAGCGGGCCATGAATGGTGCGGGGGCTCTGTTTTTAACAAGTGACTAATCTGCCAGGACTTAGGGGCTGAGTTGCACATTCTTGCCTTAGCTCAGTAATTCTGGGCTGACAGCTGGAGGCGAGTGAAAGTGAACCGGTCATTGATTATTTGGAAGGGGATCTTAAACTGTGGTATTGAAGTCCTGGCACCATCTTGGCTAGCTAATGCTGATTTCAGTCTCTGTGTTTGTCCAGAAGAGCAAAGTGGTTTCAAAGCCTGCAGAGGCAGCCCGTTTGAGGAGGTGGCTGTCTGCCTAACCCCTGCTGTTCTGACAGCACAGGGCTGTGTTCTGTACCAGCAGTGTCGGTGCCTGAAGTCTGACAGACGGTTACAGAGGGTCCAGTACAGCGGGGGTGCTCCTACACAACCAGTGCCACAGGGCCAGGGAGCGTGAGCTGCTGGAATAAAACATTTTCAAACTTGCGTCCAGTTTGTGGCCAAACTTCCTATGTGCTCTGGGGCTGGGGGTGACACTGAGTGTAAAGTTTGTTTTTCTCACTCAGAAGTGGCCCAGGCAGGGACAGGTTGTCTGCATGTCCTGGCTGGTAAGGAGCAGATGGGATTAGAGGGTTGTGAGCTATGAGGCTTGCCCAGTGCATCCCCACCCGCCTACGGAAATCGTTTTCCCTAATTTCCAACGTAGACCTCCCCCCCGTAACTTGAGCCCATTGCTCCTTGTTCTGCCATCCGGCACTACTGAGAGCAGCCTCTCTCCATCCTCTTTGGAGCCCCCCCCCCCTTTCAGGAAGGTTCGATTTGCTTCAGAATTGGCCTTGTCTTAAAAGTTCACTTGAAATCTTAAAGCCCCGCAGGGCCCCATGCTCTGCAGTTACCTTTGTGTAGCTAGAGGTGTCCAAGTGGTGCCAGGTGTGCGGTGCTATGCACTGCACAACAGACACGTTGCCGGGCTACGCAGAGAAGCCCTGGTGTAGCGCAACAGACCAGGGTGGCAGGGTTAGCAGCTGAGCGTCGGACCTTTACCTCTGCCTTGCCTGACTGTGAATGCTGGAGTCTCTCGCCCTTAGCTTTGCATCGATGCCAGTGTTAGGCACAGAGCCCGTTGCCTGATATCGTCTGAGCCAAACTGACATGCTTTCTGTGTGTCGGCTCTGCGCTAGCCGGAGACACGTTTTACTTGCTTAAAGGACAATAAGTACTTTTGTGACGCCGTGTAATGCAGGGCTGTCAGAGCGGGGCGTTCAGTGACTTATAGACTCATAGACTTTAAGGTCAGAAGGGACCATCATGATCATCTAGTCTGACCCCCTGTACAGTGCAGGCCACAGAATCTCACCCACCCCTCCTAGAATAATCCTCTCACCTATATCTCAGATATTGAAGCCTTCAAATACTTTGAAGACCCCAAGATGCAGAGAATCCTCCAGCTGTGATCTGTACCCCATGCTACAGAGCAAGGCGAAAAACCTCCAGGGCCTCTGCCAATCTACCCTGGAGGAAAATTCCTTCCCGACCCCAAATATGGCGATCAGCTAAACCCTGAGCATGTGGGCAAGACTCACCAGCCAGACACCCAGAAAGTTCTCTATAGTAACTCCTGTCATCCCTCCATTGACCTATTCCCACTGATAATGAATGGTCAATTAGTTACCAAGATCATGTTATCTCATCAACCCATCCCCTTCATAAACCCGTCTAGTTTAATCTTGAAACCAGATAGATCTTTTGCCCCCACTACTTCCCTTGGAAGGCCGTTCCAGAACTTCACTCCTCTGATGGTTAGAAACCTTCATCTAATCTCAAGTCTAAACTTCCTACTAGCCAGCTTATATCCATTTGTTCTTGTGTCCACATTGGTATTAAGCTTAAATAATTCCTCTCCCTCCCTGGTATTTATCCCTCTAATATATTTAAAAAGTGCAATCATGCCCCCCCTCAGCCTTCTTTTGGTAAAGGTAAACAAGCCAAGCTCCTTGAGTCTCCTTTCATAAGACAGGTTTTCCATTCCTCGGATCATCCTAGTGGCCCTTCTTTGTACCTGTTCCAGTTTGAATTCATCCTTCTTAAACATGGGAGACCAGAACTGCACACAGTATTCCAAATGGGGTCTCACCAATGCCTTGTATAATGACACTAACACCTCCTTATCTCTACTGGAAATACCTCGCCTAATACATCCCAAGACCGTATTAGCCTTTTTCAGTTCCAGTTCTTCCCTTATCAGCTCTTTGTCTGATCTGTCTTTCCCTTACCCACTTGTTCCTCATAACCACATACCCCATCCTATCGGCTGCCAGTGCCAGTCTCCCTCAAGACATGCATGCACACTTCTCTCTCATATCCTTCACCTTGTTTTCTGTGGCATGCTTTTCTTTCTCAACTTTGGCCAATGTTAACTCAAGATCGTCAATATCTTTCTTCAGCTCTGAACATTCATCCTCCAGTTTCCTCTTTTTGGCTGTCAGTTCAGCGTTCATCTCCTCCTCATCCTCCAGCCGTTCAGTCAGCTCCTTAATCTTAGCTTCAAGCTGGATCTTGGTTTTGATCAGTTGGTCACATCTTTCCTCTGCATCAGCCAAGCCTTCAGCTTCCTGTGGGAGAAATGCAGGTTTTCAGTGTGCTTGTTTGATGAGTTTTAGCTCTATCTTATATTACATTCTTATAGTTCATCTCAGCACAAAATATAATTGATTTGAACTGTCTGCTTCTTTTGAGAGGCCAGGACCATCAATGGCTATAAGCCAATATAGTCAGGGACACAGACCCATTTTCTGGGTGTCCTAGGCCTCTGGCTGCCAGATGCTGGGACTGGACAACAAAGGAACAGTCACGTCCAGCTCTGTTCACTCTTAGAGCATCTGGAACTGGCCACTGTCAGAAGACAAGGTACTGGGTGGATTAGATGGACCATAGAGCTGAGCTAGTGTGGTCGTTCTTATGTTCTTACATTCACAAAAAAACAGCAGCAAGATTAATTTATACTTGGTTTATTCATAGACAAAAAATAATGTAATAACTTCATATGAATGTGAATAATCTGTACCTAAGCTATTAAGCCCTAGATCCTGTAAGCAATTTTGGGCACATTCAACCTGCAATGTGTGTGTATTCCTCCTGCCTTCCCACTGCTTGTATGGTGGTTTATATTAAGCATGTAAGCAGGGTCAATCTAGATATGCGTATAAACACCTACTGTTGGTTGGCCTGTGATTTGCATTTGAATGGCCCGATTTTCAAAAATGCAAAGCAACGAACAACACCGATTTTTCTGAGTGTGTGGAGAGTAGGTTGAGAAGAAGAAGAAGAATGGTAGCTGTTTTGAATGCTGAGATCTTTCAAACATCTTGCTCTTTGTGTCAGGGTTCTTCTTTTAGGGTATGTCTAAACTACATGGCTCTGTCGACGGAGCCATGTAGATTTGTTGTTTTGGCAAAGTCAAATGAAGCCGCGATTTAAATGATTGTGGCTTCATTTAAATTTACATGGCTGCCGCGCTGAGCCGACAAACAGCTGATCAGCTGTTTGTCCGCTCAGCGCGCTAGTCTGGACG